GTAATACGTGGTATGTCATGATCTACCATCTGTATTACCTCCCGATGGGGTTGTACGTCATGAAATTGACTTGGTTCCTGGGAACAAAATGCTGCATAAAACAGCATTGTCCTTTACCAGAGGAACAGTATGAGGTCATTGACGAGTTTTTTTAGTACTAATCACGCGGCGTGAATGTTTCTAGAGCAAGTCTCTTCATTGTAGTGCCAAGCACGCGGCGGGGATGGTGCGGGAGAGAAATTCTTCTATTGCAGTTCTAAGCACGCGGTGGCAATGGTGCGAGAGAGCAAGTCTCCTCATTCCACACCGACGTTTTGTGTCAGAAAGCTTAATGGTAAGTGGCGTATTGGGCATTCTTAAAAATCAGCTTAATGCGGCCACGATACATGCATAAACACATATTTATAAAAAGTAAGCTCTCAAGAACAACATAGCAGGATGTAATGTGTACAGTGTACTTTACCTGGTTGACGTTATTATTAACTGCTCATGCGAGAAAGTAATATCCCGCTTACAGCATTTGCACTCCAAGTGGTATGCTATAGAAGTGGCTGGTTTCATGCTATAGAGGCTTTCCAATGCCCCGGCTACATTAAAACGTCCGGTGACGCATTTTTTTCTTCCAAATTTTATGTAAGTAGATTTAAACAGAATTTATTTCTACTTATCGATATAACTCTTGTCTGAATAGCTCAGTTGGTTAGAGTAAAAGACTGAAAATCTTTGTGTCGGTGGTTCAAGCCCACCTTCAAAAATTCACTGAAGTATGTATATGTTAAGAATAACTTTGAATATTTTCGGAAAATTAATCAGCTTAAACACAAATGAATTTCCTCATTGCATTTAATAAATTAAAGCATAAAAATATCCCGGGAATGTTTCAAATCAATAAGTCATCGAATTTTGTTCGCGTATGCATGAACACATTTCGATGACAAATTTTACCATAGTCAAGCGGAACAGGGTCGGTTGGACGTGGTAATCATATCGTCCATTTACGAGCTATGCTCGAGTTCATGCGAACTAAGAAGGTCTATGATAATGCATAGAAGTATATATTTGGTGCGGATGGGAAACCGTTTTTGGATGCTTCATTGCGAAGCGAGGCTAGGACAGATCTTGCAAAGGTGAAGGCCATAAGCAGATTGGCCAGTACCTGATATCCCAATGCACCTACGCAAATGACTTGGCCTTGCCAATTATGTGCACGGGTATAGCGAATTTTACGCTGACATGGCTCGGCCATTATCTAATCTCCTTAAAAAAGATGTGGGGTGGTGTTGGACTAGCACCAAAGAAGAGAATTTTAAGCTTTAAGCCTCTGCTATTCATGCTGTAAAGGAAAGTCTCCTACAAACCCAATTTTGGCTTTGTCAGATTCTGAACGGCCTTTCAGTGTCTTCTATAAGCTTCTAGTTTTGCTAATTGTTGTGCATTATTGCAAACAGGTGTTGAGGAACGCGAGAGTGTCATCAGTTCAAAATCACGTCAGCCTAAAGCTGATGAATTAATCTTTGTTCAAGGCAGCAGTATACTTGCTATGAAACATGTTCCAGTCAATTCGAGAGTTTATACACTTGGCTTCAAGACATATGTAGTCTTTTTTGATCATGCGCATCTATGCACGGCGACATAATCGCCTCATCTCGTGCAGAGGATGTCCCGTTGCCATATATTCTTTGCAGAAAATGCTAGTTTAAGTGTAAGCCGGGAAGGCAAAAGAGTTTGGCTTACGCATTGTCACGCCAACCTGACTACGAGCTTGCTCATGTTACTAATTTTTCGTCGTCAACTATAGACTTTATCCGTTTCTCGTATCCGAGGGTGACAAATGTGTAGCTTTGCTACGAGCTCTTGAAAGAGATGAGTTTAAAGACTAGGACATTCATTTTTTGGCGCGTTCGCGTGCGAGGTTACATCGATATTCTACCGATAATGACTTTTTGTGTCATCGCACGGATGCTGCGGATACCCCGCGTATCGTTTTTCTCATGATGAGGAAACAAATTATCGAATTCTCTACAAGGTGCACAACACTGCTATTAGCAGTCATATCGGGCGTGAAAAGACCTACGGCTTACTTAGCCAAAGTTATCTGTTGCTCAAACCCTATAAATGGATAAGCACTTACGTGCGTACATGCGAAACGTGCCAATGAGTCAAACCCTCGGATCACGCGACTGCGCCACTAGCATGCTTGTTTGTACTATCTAGATGTTAAGATCCATCAGCATAGACTAAGTGTTTGGCTTACTGAAAGATCCGGATGGAAACACGAGTTTGGTTGTCTTTGTTGACCGTTTGATCAAAATGTCTCAATTAGCGGCTATGCCGGATTCGATTGACAGCGAAGGTACATCTTTTCGTTATAATGATCAGGTGTCTCGACAACACGGTCTGGCATTAGCGATTGTCTCTGACCAAGATCCTCTTTTTCGATGTAGCTTCTGGTAGCCTATCTTCAAGGTGCTCGGAACTCGCCTCGACATGTCTACAGCGGATCAAACGCAGAACGATGCTCAGACCGAGCGCGTTAATCTCGTCCCCGACGATGTGTTACGTGTCGCGCGCGCTTAGACGTCTCGGCGCTGGAGCTCAGTGCTTTTGATTTTTGAAATCGTAATGAAAAATACTTCCCACGCCTCAACAGGCTATACTTTGCTCTACGTAAGCGGCCTTATCCCCCCAGGTTCTTTCAACGCTACTACTACATGGGTGAAGGATTTGCGGGGAAGAGGAATTAAATCGGGTTCCTGATTGTAGCCCTTTAACTTTTCAAAACAGGTTAGCGCTCTTTTAACATTACAATTGAATGTCATAAACACCTGCGTGACGCAATATCTTATAGTTAAGCTAAACAAAAGCAACAAGCGGATTTTTAAGGCAGAAGATGTACTGAAAGTTGTGGGGTTAGTGACCACGTCTAACTGAACGCTCAGAATATACCTACTTACGAAGGTTATACTGTGTCTAAGACTAAGCTACGTCCTCGCTTCATCGGACCATTTTTGGTCGTGGCCAAAAAGGGTCTTGCGTATACGCTCAACATAACGCGCGAATTGTGTATGCACCCTGTTTTTGATATCGGACTCCTTAAGCCGTATCGGGATCCTGCGCACTTTGATCGAGAGGCGCTTGCGCCGCGGAAGTTGGCTCTGCCACAGGCTGCTGCATCCAAATTAGGAGGTCAAGTTGCACCTCCATAAGTGTCGAACATATTGCAAACGTCGACAAGCAAGCTTGTACCTTGTCATGCGTGCGTTAGGTCTGACTTAAAGTCTCGCAAAGACTGTTCACCTCTTTACCCAAAGCCTCATGGGCTGCAGTCGACACGCCGACCTCCCCCGGCGTTGCTAAAAGGTCAAGGGAACGTCCAGTTCGATGTTGAGAAGGTACTTTAACGACGTCAACGTCATGGCCAATACTAGTATTTGGTAAAGTGGCGAGGGCACCCAGAGGCTAAGAACTTATGGGAGTATGCGCTGCCCCTTCGGCAGAATTTCCCATATGCTGTGGATGTTTTTCAGCGCCAGGTTAATGTCATCTTTTGCGACCCCGAATGTATCACACTAGCATTGGTAGCAGCAGGTGGTTGCACGACCGAATCCCGATGTGGAATTGCAGTCATCGGCACAGTCGCAGCGTCTGTTCTGCAAACGGCGCCCACAAATGACCTCTGACCTTAAACTTGGCAAACTCACAGTGGAGTTCTTGTTCAAAAAGTAAGTCTGCCTTATCAGCACTAGCTCGTAGCGACATAATGCTGCTTAAGCTTCGTGCTTTGTGTCCCCAAGGGAATAAACGCATTTTCTTCCTCTTCGGGCAATTCCTCTCGACGTGGAGAATGGGACACCCCTAATCTGTGGTACAAGTACACCCTGAACTTTCCTCACAAGCCTTGCCTTTTACTGACTGTAAGTCAAAACAATCGGCACTAGGTTTCTCTCATGTAACGCTCTGCGCGCCTCTATAGCGTCAGGGGTCGGGGTTCCGGGCCGATGCGCTATGACACCAACGACTGGCCAAAAACTTGTCGGAGTAGCTCCTCCACACTGAGAAGCGTGAACGCATACTGTAACGGGAAAAAAGACGTTACGTTACTTACACTCATGTATTACGATAAAGCGTAAGAGACACACGTGTAAGCGTGTGTCGTTTGCAAATTAATTTCAATTCTGATTTAATATTTATTAGTTTAGTTATTTCATACTAAGTACGAGCGGTCTCTGAGCCACGAAAGCCACTCAGCTAAAAGTCGCATCCTGTTGGCTGGTAGTACAAGTACACCCTGAACTTTCCTCACAAGCCTTGCCTTTTACTGACTGTAAGTCAAAACAATCGGCACTAGGTTTCTCTCGTGTAACGCTCTGCGCGCCTCTATAGCGTCAGGGGTCGGGGTTCCGGGCCGATGCGCTATGACACCAACGACTGGCCAAAAACTTGTCGGAGTAGCTCCTCCACACTGAGAAGCGTGAACGCATACTGTAACGGGAAAAAAGACGTTACGTTACTTACACTTACGTATTACGATAAAGCGTAAGAGACACACGTGTAAGCGTGTGTCGTTTGCAAATTAATTTCAATTCTGATTTAATATTTATAAGTTTAGTTTTTTCATACTAAGTACGAGCGGTCTCTGAGCCACGAAAGCCACTCAGCTAAAAGTCGCATCCTATTGGCTGGTAGTGGGTCTGTACCCACTTACCATCAGAGTAGGACTACGACACACTGTAGCCACTACAGTTGGCTACCATGAATACCTACCTTGTAGATGTTCACCTGGAAGGGTATACCTAAATGTTTACTAGTTAGAAATGACTTTCTAATCAGTAGTGTGATGGTAACACCCCGTTACACATACTCATCATGTGACTCGAGTGTCGACATGATCTGAGATCTACGCTGAGCGCCCTCCTATTGTTGTAGCACATGCTCCTGCTCCGCATCAAGCGGGTACGTGATGGTTCCTAATTCCATACACAGTGTCGTCGGCAACGCTGTTAGTGTGTCAACAGCTCCACGTCCAAAAACGGATCAGGCGCCTGCCTCGACGTGTCGTCTTCGTACACAGGAGCGTCCTGTTTGGATTCGATATCGCTACCGTAATCCACTTCCTTTTCCTCGCTACCGAGCATGTCGTAAAGTGACGCAGACTCACTTGGCTATGCCATATCTATCGAGTGAACTAACTTTGATGTTTTTATTGCTCAAATGTTTTCGATGTGGAATGATTCAATTGACACAACTTGCTAACTTCAGTCTGGAGGGGGAGGGTGTAACAGGGTCACAGGACCATTATCTAGAAGTGGGTATACCCTGCACATCAGATATCCAATAATCAAGTTTGATCTGTAATAATTGGAGGGTTGATACCCTCCGTCATTCGTTGATGATAGATTGATGTATCATCCATCAAGTATTTAAATTTTAGGTATTACATCACACGAGTTCGTTTAATATTAGTATTAAATAGGAGTATGAGGCCAAATGCAGATAAAACTAAGAAATTAAAGTCCAGTTCCCCTTTTGATCTTTGAGTGACACGTGTCTAGTTTAGACGCCAGCAGATCGTTAGGTGTAAGAAACAGCTTGTGGTGTATAATCCAGAAAACATTGTGCGTACGATTCTTAGATGTCGTGCTTAGTCCCTTGAACCAGGAACTCACAACAAAGACTCGGAGAGTCTTTAAGCTACGAGCTTAAAGACTCTCCGAGTCTTTGTTGTGACGGAGCGCTGGTCACTAGTACTGCTTCAGTACTTGTGCACCTACACTTAAAACAGTGTAGGTGGTGTCGCGCGTCACGTGACGTACACCGTTCGTGCAGAGGAAGGCTAACTAGTCAACGACGCGTTCAATAGGAGTAGAAAGTAAAATTGTATCAAACATAATTAAGTCCCAATCATTAACCTGTGTTTTAGTACAAACTTAATTGTATTTATCGATAAATGTATACTTAAGTCTTGGTCACCACTCATTGCGCGCGTCCATCATTTATATGTACCGCTAGATCTAGCTGATAAAATGGCTCATATTAGCCAAGCGGTAAGTGTTTCTGAATGTTATCCCTTATGCTAACATTTACGAAAATTGTCCATCTTTGTGATATTTTTTAAGCGACAAGAATGACTGTTAATTGCATGCAAAAGGCTTACCCCTTTAATTTGTTAATTAGTTCTTATAATTAAGGAATCTTAAAGTTAATAGGAACTTAGTCCTGTAGAATACAGTGGCTTTTGGAGTTGTAAGGCCTCCTTTGACAAAGAGTTGTGTAGCTTGACTACAGAACGAGTTGATGTAATCATGATCATGGTCGTACATCCGTGGACGATCTTGTTTTTTTTGTTTTGATGGTCCATTTGGCCGGCGTCATCCTGTTCGTCGTCATATTCGATGTATGCGTGGTCGTGGGCGTCGTTGGTTTTGTCTTGATCGTTCTTTTTGCCAGCGTCATCTTGGACGTTGTTGTTGATGATGTTGTAAACCTCATCGCCATTTGCGTCCCCATCCAATCTCCGTTGCCATGGCAAAGCTCTCCAAAACATCGTTCACAATTTCCTCTGCGTATAAATCTACTTGTTCGGCTTCATTTTGTCACTTTCTTTAGCTGGGTTCATATCTGAGTCTCCTCCTACCCCGTCGGTCATATCTGCCACACAGCGGGGTGGTCTTACGATAAGATAGCAAGCTCATCCCTGCAGCTCATATTGAATAGAAAGGTTCTGATAATCAGCATAGCAAACAAAGCATCAGTCAAGGAATTCTATGATAAAAAGACCAACACAGAACTGTACCAGACGGTAAAATTACAATTGTGAATTGTACTTGGTCACGATTGCCTAATGTTGTTAGTGTCTATTTAATTACAGCTGAAGACCACTATCACGACTTGATTCGCGGAGAGATTGGCGGCGATTGATGGATCAAAAATACATTCTAATTTTACAGCCACCTCAATTATTGACCATATTTGGTCGATCGACATGCATAAAGCACCAAAAAGGTGAGCATTTAGCTATTTGTGTAGTAGCTGCTACAGTATCTGCGAGCTAGTAGGTCAGTTTTTACCTTCAAGACTCTCCCGAAGCCGTTCAAAGCGTCGCACGAGGCAAAATTTGAACAACACATGCTCTGTAACATATCTCTACCCTTTTGTTTCGCTTCCACACATGCTGATTGTTCGTGTTAGGTGTTTGTTGTGTTTTTATTGCGGGCCATTGTGACAAAAAGCTCAAGGAGTTAAATGCAACCCTCTATCTCTAGCGAGAGCAGCTACAATGGGTTTTCTAATTCTGGCAATGACTGTTCGAAGATGCAGAAGACAAAGAGATTTTACTAGGCTGGGGATGGTTGAACCATAGCTCCCATGCTTGAGCTCGCGTTATTGCACATGAGGCAGGCAATTTCACTCGAAAAATAACCATCGGACGCTACATCCCCACTAAAGAGCCCGTCACCAGTCCAGTATATTACGTTTGCTGCATGATTAAGTAGTTGCCATCTTCTGCGCTAGTATATATCACCTCTTACCGCGATACATGTATGCAATATATTGATAGACGAATCTGAACGTTCTGACACGCTCTGTTGGGCTGCAGACTGAGTAATGTATCCAGTCGCACTGTCCATCTTCAGTTTCACATACACACGAATACTGCAGTCGTGAGAAGCATTTTGACTTCATTTCGATTGCCTTCGTGGCTCCAGTGGGTCAACGTACATTCGGGCGATCGCTTCATCGTGAGTAGCATCTTGGAAACGGGGCTCACCTTCAGGTCATCGTTGCCACTTGACCGTGCAATACTGAGCTTCTGTTGACCATGTCGCTCCATCGGCCGGCCTCTTCTGGATGCCAAGAAACCTCCGAAGAGCCTCCGTAGAGCTGATTAAGTTTAGTTCGGCCCAGCTTGCATTCCTCGGGAATGATGGCTAAGCGCACTGTTCGTCCCGCTCTCAATTTTGTGTTACCTCCCACGCGACGCTTTACAGCTTCTCGGTGATGGTCTTGCGAAGTTGTTCCGAATGTAATGATGGTGAAGAGGAAATCACTATGCTTGCAAACGAGTGGGGATAATAAGTCAGTACTGGGAGTGGCTGGAAACGTGTGTTTTGTCACGATCGAGGGGAATCGTCGAAGATGCGAAAGGAGCAATACGATCTAGACACGTCAGCTTAAACTTCTCAGAGATGGACAAGATTGTTCGTTTCGTGCAGTCAAAGTAGGACCGGGCCATACCTGCCTCGCTCGTAGTTGTCCGTCGACGACTACTAAGATCTTTTTCTCACCGACACTATCGGGTATGACAACTTTGTATAATATGCAACTGCTCCTGGTGCTATACCTTCTACATACGTTCTCCGTCGTGTACATGACTACAACCGGGAGTTGCAAGCGCGTATCAAAAGTGTGTCCAGCTGTTCAAGCGACTAACCCGTTAGCTGGCGCAGTTGTCGTTGTCATGCCTATCCGAACGAAGATGCATTACGCCTGACACGACGTTATCCTTGTGTCAACCCTCACCCACCCACCCACCCGAACCTAACCATCTCACCCAGAAGTGAGTGACGTTACGATTTCTTAGGCGTCTCCAACTAGCAACCCCTGGACGACTACGCTTCATCGTGAACAAGACGAACACATCCTTGAACAAAGCAGGTTTTACTCAGAGAACTCAGATTGAAGATCCCTGCTACGCCTATACATATCAGTCGTCGGCGATGGTCGTTTTCGAGAAGCCAACCAAAGATCGAGTTCGAAGGACTTTGTGAGTGAAAAAGCTCTTGCTTTTGAATTGCTCAGATGAAACGGGTATTTTTTCACAGCAGCGTAAACATATTCAGTGGTGATTTAAACTCGCCGACTTTCAGATGTTCTTAGCGAGGCTAAAAGCATCAATTTTGCAGTGGGTCTGGATACGTTGCCACAAAGCATGACAGCTTTGCTTGTCTTAGGACAGACTCCGTTCCAGATAATGTCTGACTAATAATTAGCTTCGTACGTGGCCAAGGAGTCCAAAAAAAGCTACTGCAACAAACAAGTTACTCGTTCTATCATTGTGAAGGCATCCCACATCATTTGAAAGCTCGCACAATGTAGTCGTGTAAAGAATCTCACGTGGTAGTGGTGCTGCATACTGGATATGATGGAGCGCTGCTCTGTCATTTTGCGCTCTGTACATATTGCACGTTGTTGTATGTTTTGTCAACTAGAGCTCACCGTGCTTCGGACGCATTCCATCTCAAGTAGCACAGCAAATGAAATTTATGGTTTAGCGCAATAAACTCTTCGGCACCAATGTGCCAACTGCCGTCTGATTAATGTTATAAAAGCTCTCACCAAGTAGAGGTATCAAAAAGACCAAGCTTGTGTCTCCATGAAATCTCAAGAACCTGCCAGTCACATGCACTGGCAATAGCTTCGGTTTGACAACTGTAGGATCTAGCGTTTCCGTCATTGTCTGTGCATCACGTTTGATACTTAGTGCTGTAGTTTAGAGCAGGCGGTGATCTTTTCAAGCTCCAGCTGCGATGGCTTCGATTACCGCAGATTATACAGCAGTTGACAGCTAGACCAACGTAGTTCTGCGAAAAGAGTGCGCAAAATGATTTAAATGTAATGCTAGAAGAGATAAATTACAACATGTTTGGTGTCGTGTTCGGCCGTTGAAATAGTAGCCGTGCAAATAGCGTGCATGTCGGACCAGATCAGCATGTCTCTCTGCAAACAACCACAAGAGGAGGAATCAGTAAACTCCGCGGAAACGAAATGTCGCAGCTGATCTTAACTGACCCAGCACTGCACTTCACAGGTCGCAGCTTTTATTCCTGCCAAACCGTTGTGTACGAATAAACGTATCGTGGAAGTAGAAGCAAAGCACTTGACTTCCAGAGTCGCTGTTGGTACATACTGGTTTTTAAGCATCTAGCGCTGCGCGTCCTCTAGAAGAAGGCATCGAATACGCGTCACGTTGGCAGAACACTTGACAATTGCTGTCCGCAACACCAAGGTACACGCAAATAACTAATACAGTGGCAGGCTACTGCCACAAACAGCTCAAGAAATGACGCAGCAGCTTTATCCAACATCATCACGAGGCTTGATCAATTTGCGACGAAGTATGAGCGATCGTACAATGATGTTGCGCTATTTTTCGCTCGCCAAGCTTTCCATTTCAAGGCGCTTGTCCATCACTTTGTCATGTTAAGATCCTCACCAGGCCTTTCGAAAGAACTGTTACCAAAACCGTCTACAATAAAAACTGTTTGCAAAGAAGTTGTCCGTGTGTATGGGTTGCCTTGGTCAGACTATCTGACACGTACAACATGTAGTAGTCAATGAGAAAGTGAGAAAGCGCTTGTAGGCGCATTTCTTTCCACTTTGAAGCCTTTTTGTGCGGTACGAAAGCCACGCAAGAGAGTACAGGTGCACAAAACGTTATTGTTACAGCTACTATCACGTCAATCAGTACGCACGTCAATCAGTACGCATAAGCAGATCGGAGGTTGCATTGTCGAACTGTCTACATACCTGCACGGTGCTAATCAGTCGATGAACTTCGTTTGTGTTCAAGTCACGTAAAGTCATTCGTATCGTCCTCGACCGAAGGAGAGGAGGGTGGTACAAAGTCACAAGGAGTCCGATAAAAATAAGTACTGCTGCTAAATGTGGCAACAATGTGGATCAGTAAGAAGTACTGGTGGTGGCAGGTAGGAGCACAATTGCTGAGCGAAGACAGACACCTGCATGCGTCTCCGGTCTGACATTTTACTTGTGGCATCACCTACTGTCAATTTCTTTGCCCATGTCGAATACTGTGCTTTGGTTTTCCTTTCACCAACCCGACCTGTGACCTAGCAATAATGGAATAATTAGGTGCATCCAGGGACACTATCGTATGTGTGTTACATGCATGTGCTCTAGACACTTAAGGGCATCGTCTACTCTGTGAACGTAGTATGAATGTAGCACAAGAGGCTTTTGTTGCTGAAACAATCGGCGGGATGTCCTCAAAGCCGACACTGAGCAATAGTTGTATAATGTAGAACGCAGGTAGATATGAATGGAATCGGTGAAGTTAAGTACTTTAAATGCGCTCGCTCCCTTGCTCTAAATTCTTCTCTGTACCTCCAAATACACTAAGTTGAAGTCCCTTATTTGTTTCAACATTGTGGGCAGTTGAGGTCAATTCCCAACATTATTTTTGTCCAAAGTCCGTGAATTTCACAAAGTACCGAGAAACGGCTTCTAATGTCCGTTCTGCCAGCTGCCTGTCTTATCAGCTGGGCAGTCTGGCGTATCCCCCCCCTGTGCCGGCTCTCTTCTCCTATCGGTGCAGATGCGAGCACGTCCGAATAGTTCAGGCTACTACCGTCGTCGGATATCCCCCCGTAGGACACCTCATTTTGACCAATGATGGGGCAGGCAACAGACGGTCCCCTTTCAAATTGATCATGCGGTTGCTTGCTTCTGGTCTTTGCGTCATCGTTTTGTTTCTGCTACATAAAACGTGCACAACGGCGAACATGCAGTGCATTCGCTTGAAGACGATTATGCACTGCTGAAGGGGTTTCTCTTTTCGCATGTGGTAAACCATGCTTCTGCAGGTTATTTCGACCGAATACGCTTGGTGCTTCAGCTAGCGCTGGGGTTCCCATGCGTATCAGCTAGACTTCTCGAGGTCGGGTCATTAGAACACGTGGTCTGCCGATCAGAAGGGCTGGGGCTGATTCAAGCTACACTCGGCTTCTACAATCTTTTAGTGTCTCGTCAAGCTCACTGCATCAGCGGTATCCTCCAGGACAGCACCTTGCCAATGAATCTTGCTTCAGCTGCGAAAAGATAGTCGATCCGAACACTCTTTAATATATTAGTTACAGGCTACTCTCACTATCACCTTTTAATCATTGAGGACTTCGTTCGACGGAAACGTAAATGATATGTAATGAGCACCGCTGAGGCTCAAAAGCTGCCTCTTTTCGTCAGAGACATGTCCTCTCAATTTTAGAAAATTTCGATCAGATTTAAATGAACCAACGCTCAAAACATCCATTGAACTTGCTGATTCCAGGTGATTCCTGCCAACTGTTGCTCCGACTGCACCAGGTCAAATTAAACCTGCTCATATGAAGGCTGAAGACTACGCAAAGTCTAGGCAAGGATCACGCACAATTTGTGCTACCGTATTAGTTGCACCTGTGTAAATTGGATAAATGGCTGTGACTCAATGCTGATAAATATCAAGTCGTATAGAGTCCAGATGATGGCTGGCTAACATGCTCGGTCAGCAGACCGGACAAATCACAACCCACGTGGACTCGAAGCCTTTTTCTGCGCACTACTGAAACTAAGGTCATGCGATAGTACATCTCTTGACTTACTTCATGTTAGGATGGACGACCAATCCTGTCGTTAGATCTCTGGCGCTCTTAAAGCAGAAGCATCTGAGAGCTACCTTCAAATCCGCAGACTTAGTTGATTGTGACCCACAAAAAATGTAAAATTTCTGCGGAGAGGAAAATGCACACATGGATGGTGTAACTCTCGTCCACTGTATGGTATCATGAATGACCCCCATCCTGGCGCTTACGTCCTATTCGCGCTGCGCACTTGACTCTGGAGCATTGCTCCCACACACGTCATTCTCACATTTGCCAAACAAAGTCAGCGCCGCCACACTAACTTTTCAACCAGAGTTGTCTGCCATGAACATCAAGTCGATTTTGTCACTCGTCCTCACCGCCTTCGTGTCCACCTCTGTTCATGGTTATTATTGTGGATCGAACACCTGTCCGCAGAAGCGTGGATCGCTCGTGAAGTTCTCACTTTACTGCAACGAACGATATGAGAGTGCCTACGACTTTGACAGATGCTGCCAGAATTGTTGCGCAGGAGAAGGACGTGGTTGCCCTAGAGGTTGACCTCGCCTTCGACGGGTCACAGCGTCAGTCAACGGTTTCGGTCGCGTATGATGGTGCCACTTTTTGTTTTGCACCGCAGTTGCGCGAGGGAACGCCCCGCCGGTGGTGGCCACGTTGGAGCTAAAAATTTAGATGGATCTTAGGTTAGCTGTTTTCACAATCTACACTTTCTCTTTAATGCCGCGCTCGCCGATTTTTCGTTGCTTCTTCCCTGTTTATACTTCTTATCTTTTTTGGTTCTCTCCTTTTTCCGTTTTTACTACCGCTAGGGTAGCAAGCTGCTTGAAAAAAGCTTTTAAATATCATTGTCTCTTTGATGCTAATAAATATTACGTTAACTAATTTCTAAAACTTGCAGCAAAATGAGCAGTGGAAACTTCTTTTGAGCGCTTGGTGAATGAAGATCGATTCAAGCCCTGCCCATGTTGTAGGCACTGTATTTTGATTCGCTTAAAATTGGCCCTTTCAGCCACCACTAGGTTTTAACAGCTTTTTCAATAAAATATTCTTCTCTAAAGTATACCTATTTAATATCACCAAAAATACAAACTGTATTATTCTTTTTTTTAGCTCGCTCGAAAACTTTGGTGTACCAGGACGGTCAGGGGCGATAATGTAGACTGCCTTTCTTATTTCTTGTAAAACGAGAGTCTTACTATTTTAATCCAGGACGTTACCCATCTTCTGTACAACATCGGTGTGGACACGATGAACGAAGACACACATTATTGGAACATCCATTGCAACTAGTGATTATGAGGACATCGCAAACCCATTCGCCCTTTACCTACTACTGGAGTTTGAGCTTGCAATCGTGTCTACTAGCTTCTCGCAGTCGACACATGAACAAGACGTGTGTAAGGTCGAATGCCCGAGTCAGAAGTGGCCATCCAATGAGAATGACAAATCTTATTGCCACGTCACCTCGCCTCGCTTGATCGTATCGTGTCGTACCGCCTAAGGAGCAGAAATTAATAAGGATTATTTAATGCTGTATCGCCTTATAGTGACGCTCTCTAGCAATTTTTTGCAAAGTTGCGAAGCCATTTTGATTCCCCGCCGTTCTTTTCCCCGCACACATATTGTGGCCGCCTATTCGTTCGTCCTAATCATTGTATGTCAATGATAGTTACGCGCCGCTTCTTGATTTTTTTCTTTTGAGTGTTGCTTATGATACTGTGCGATAATCTACGAGCACTGAAGTAGCTACCGGGTGGAGATTGCCGGAAGCATCACCAGGGTACGTCAAGGTACGAATGTGTTGATCTGAACGTATGTGGATACGAATAAGTGTTGATATGAACGTTCTGATACTGTAACGGGGTAATTCATTACACAACAATTTATAAGAAATTGTTAATAGAATATAACTATAAGAGCTGTATTCTCAGAATATTGTCATAAGGACAAATATTCTGCAGCACTTACGAGTAGTTCCTAATTGGTTGATATAGGCCATTATATCAACCAACGAAGACGCGCCACGACAGACGCACGCAATGAGTGGTGAGCAGATAGTTGATATACACATTTGCATTTAGACATGGTTAAAGTAAAAAGTAGAACTGTATTCAGTATAGTTAATGTCTGCAATAAATCACTGTTTATCTTCATCTAACTAAGTACTCGCTTCTTCTTACCGTCTTCCTCTGTACGTACGAGTGTACGTGAAGTTCCGAGGTACCGCCTTATTCTGTCATCAGAATAAGTAGCTTGTACTGTGACCAGTACAAGCTTCAGGGTGCCCCGTTACACCTGGTAGCACTTCGTAGTCCGTCCAAGGACCACGTTTACATCTAACATGAATATGTTGGATGATGAAGATGACCAAAGCTTTCACGCTACGCGTGACGGCTACTCCTATTGAGCGATGTCGAATGGGATGCGGTTGAACGGATGGGTTCAACCATGGGCATCCATGCTGTTAGCGTCATGCTAGAGGCTCTCAATAGAGATGCCCAACATGCTACTATCGCCAAGTTCATTCAAATTTAACTTGACGCCGAACGCGAGAAATTAGCCTTGCTTCACCAACAAGGTTCTCAGCAAGCAGAGTTGTTGAGAGAACAGGGAGCTGAACAGTTTGAACTGTTGAGACAGCAGCAGGCTGCTGCTGGTGGGTCGATGCACTCGCGTCGACCCGAAACCTTGAAGATTGACATCTCCAAGTATAGGGGAGTCGAAGAGGACTCCCTCTTGAGATGGTTCGTCGAATTAGACGACGCCATAAGGGCGCGTCGCATCGACGACGGGGACATGCAAGTTGCATTTGCCCAGTCAAATCTGGCAGGACGTGCCAAGACTTGGGCACTGGGGCTCAAGTTGCACGACCCATATGCGTTTGGGTCGTTGGAAGTCTTCAAGTCGCGGCTCAGACAAACGTTTGAACCGCCTAGAGCTGAGTTCAAAGATCGAACCGAACTCTTGAAGCTCAAGCAGGGTAAGCGTGATGTGCACGCTTACGCGCAACATATACGACATCTCACGAGTTGTATAAGTTCCAATCCGGTGGATGAACACACGTTGGTTTCGGTGTTCATGCAGGGTCTTGCGGATGGTCTCGTCAAGACTCACCTGTTCCGGCTTGAACTAGATTCACTAGAACAAGCCATTTCCATTGCGGAGCAGGAAGACTTCAGTCTAAGACAGGCTCGCGCCACTCGACATCATATCGTCAACCGAGACGATATGACAGCGGAGGTCCAGAGCCGATGGAACTCTGTTATGTAGAGAGCGAGAAGGCTCGCTCTACAGGCTACAAGAAGTTGCAGAGATACAACGGATGTCAAAAGACAGGACACTACGCTTACGAGTGTAGTGCCCCTCGTCCAGTGTCTCGCGACACTGGGCGTAGTGACCGTCCACCCATGAGAAAGGGACAGGGACGAGGGTCCGCTGTTGGTGCAAAGACGCAACAACGGGATGGACCGTCAAAAACGGACAGGATCAGTAGGTGCGGAGCACCCTACTGGTCCAGCAACGTCAAGAGAATTTGTAGGCCTCTTGATGAAGGTTGCTCCCAACACGCAAACGTTGTGCGTTGCTGCTCTAAGTAATGAGGTCTCACTCATTACCTTGAAACTCGAAGTGACGAATAAGTTGTCCCTTCGAGCTCTAGTCGATTGTGGGGCGTCCAACAATTTTGTGCGACGCCAATTGATAGAAGATGGTCACTTTAAGTTCAGTGAATGTGACACACCTCCTACGAGGATGACGGTACGTCTTGCGACAAGCGCATCCGTAACCGTCATGAAGCGTATAGTGAAGATCCACCATACGCTAGAAGATACCCAATATGATGATGACTTCATCGTATTGGATTTGGATGACAAATTTGATGTCATCCTTGGAATACCGTGGCTCAGAAGGTACGAACCACGAGTAAACTGGCAACATCGAACAGTAACGATGCCTGCCGCTTGTTCATCAGATGGCCATCTGATGAACGTTTTGGAGCGTCCACAAGCGTGTGGATGTACTACGAGTGAGTGCGATGGCCTCACTTGTGGTACGGTCGTTAGTACGACTGCACAAAACCTTAGTGTACCAAATGGTTACACTTCGGAGCAAAGTTCCGGCGGCTGTGAGGAAACACAGGCTGCGCCGAAGGTCTACCACTCGAATAAGTCGGGTGGACTGGGACAAAAATGTATCCCTAGCGGGTAACATCTAGAAGAGAAAAGATCGATCGCTCAGGTTAAGCGAAACGATAATCCTAGATCGACTGGAGAGTCTTTCGTAGAGGATATCGCTGTGGTTGCGCAACCCCAGCTAGAGGAACTAAAGGGAATAAGTCCCAAGATTACAAATACGGCGGAAATAAGTTCCCCGAAACCCGCGGGAATAAGTCCCCGGGAAGCCGAAGGAATAAGTCCTTCGAAGCCTGAGGGAATAAGTCCCCAGGAAATGACAGAGACATAGAATGTCATAGTCAATAACGGATCAAGTGTAGGCGCTTACACACTTGATCTGATTGCGCCATCGAAGTTGACTTCGGAGATCACTCAGTTGCCAACGCTCGAACATAAAAGGTTCTTGCGTGATCTGCGTAGTGGCAAAGTCAAGCAGATCTGCGTACTCGTCGCTGACGACGAGTGTGTAACCGACATAAGGTCAGCAACAGTGTTTACTGAGAACGAGAGAGTTCTCAGTAGTTCATCTATGGACGAGAGCGTCCTAGATGAAAAGAAACGAGTTGAGCGATATGACTCCCAATCATGGGAATCGCTCAAGAAAAATCCTCTCTGTGAAGATTTGGTTAAATTCAAGGATGTATTCCCTGAAACTGTTCCGTGCGAATTACCGAAGAATAAAGGTATTCGACACGAAGTCGAGCTTAAACCAGGCTCGAAGTACTGTGTCATGAAGCAGTGGCCACTGCCTCGTGAACAAGTACTTGCGATCGACAAGTTCTTTGCCGATCTTTTAGCAGCGGGTCATGTGAGGGAATCAACTTCCCCACATAGCTCTCCGACCTTCTGTGTGCGAAAAGTAACTGGAGGGTGGCGGATTGTGCATGCATTTAACAAGTTGAATGCTGCAACGGTACCGGCTCAGACGCCGATACCGAGGAAGGACGTAATCATTGATGGTATGTCAAAGAGTACCATCTTTTCGTCCATGGATTTGATGGATGGCTTCTATCAAATCCTTATGCGAGAACGGGACATACCCTATACCGCAGTGAGCACGCCTAGCGGCATGCTTTGGGAATGGCTAGTAATGCCACAAGGGCTTAGTAATGCCCCTGCCACGTTCAACAGATGTGTATCACATCTGTTGAGACCAGTACGCGAATTCGCACCGAGTTTTTTGACGACGTATTCATCCATAGTCGGGCTATGGATGGAAAGTCGGACGTTGAGGTTCACAGATGCCACGTCCGACAGGTTCTTACAATCATGCGAAAGCATCAATTGTGTGCAAACCTCAAGAAGTGTATATTTGCCGCAAGCGAAATACCACTTCTTGGGTGCATCGTTGGCAAGAACGGTGTACGTCCTGATCCCGAAAAGATCAAGGCGATCACCGACTGGCCTGTGCCGGTTGATGTCAAAGGTCTTCAAAAATTCCTTGGGCTAGCGGCGTATTTGCACAAGTATTCACGCAATTACGCCGAGATGACTGTACATCTCTCTCGTTTGTTGAAAAAGAACGAAAGGTGGTTATGGAACGCTGAATGTCAGCGCTCCTTTGATGGTATCAAGCAGAGCTTGATACAATCCCCAGTCCTAGCAATAGCCGATCAGGACAGGCCATTTCATGTGGTCTGTGATGCCAGCGATTTCGCAATCGGCTGTGCATTAATGCAGTACGATCTTGAAGGCGTTGAACGCGTCGTCTGCTATCAGTCGCGTCAGCTGCAACCAGCTGAGCAGAACTATCCAGTGCATGACAAGGAACTCCTTGCCATGAAGTATGCACTCGCGAAGTTCAGAGTCTATCTATTAGGAGATAGACCCTTCATTGTTTACACTGACCATGCGTCCTTACGCACGGCAGTGAACAGCCCGCACCTTTCACAACGAATGGCGCGGTGGTTGTCATTCTGTGCGGAATACAACTTTGCGGTAGTGTACAAACCAGGACGACTTAATTTCGTCGCTGATGCACTCTCACGTCGTCCCGACTTTGAACCAGTCGCGAAACCCAACAGTGAGACAGTCACTGTTGCGGTTATGACGTCCTCAGTTCCATCTACAACGTTGTATGATGATGTGAGGCGGGCATACGCCCAAGATGGTGAGATAGTGAAGTTGTTGTCACATCTCTCCCAACCATCTCGAGAATCGTTGAAACGATTGTCGTCTGCGTATCGATCTGCATCAGATCGATACACTACTCGTAACGGTTTACTGTACTATACAGCCGTTTCTGGTGACACACCACGTGTTGTCATTCCAGATGATACTGATCTGCGTTTGCGGATCATGTTCGAGTATCACGATGCTCCTATAGGAGGACATCGTGGCCGAGAGAAAACATATCTCACGGTAAGTCGAGACTTTTACTGGCCCCGCCAGTATCAGTTTGTGCGAAAGTATGTTCGCGCATGCGAAGTCTGCCAACGAGTGAAGTCAAGTCCTTCACTGCGTGCACCTTTACAGCCTCTACCGGTTCCGGCTGAGTGCTGGGAATCCATCTCAATGGATTTCGTCTTCGGGTTACCCAAAGACGCACGCGGGAATACGGGTATTCTCGTATTTGTTGACAGATTCAGCAAAATGGTACACCTTGTGGCTGTACCAGAGACAATCACGGCAAGTGGCTGTGCTTGTGTCTTTATTGACACCATCTTCCGACTTCATGGGTTGCCCCGTGAACTCGTATCAGACAGAGATCCACGATTCACTGCTGATTTCTGGCGTTCCGTGTTCAAATCACTCGGAACGCGCTTGAAGATGTCAACATCTGATCATCCAGAGTCAGATGGTCAGACGGAACGTGCCAACCGTGTCCTCGAAGAGATACTTCGAGGATACGTACACTCCTTTAAAAGTTGGAGTGAGTTTTTGCCAATGGTAGAGTTTGCCATCAACAACTCGGTGCATGCGTCCACGACACATACACCGTTTTACGTGAATGGCTTGCGCCATCCGCGTGTACCCACCTTACTAGAGTGTAACTCTGGTTTAAGGGGGGGAGGGACTCGCGCGAGCAAAAACCGATTTGGTTCACGCTCATCACGCTCTGACGAAGAGGTCATTGCGTTTGATGCCGATATCGATAACATCGATATTGAAGAAGATGATGCCAGTGAGAGTGCGGAAGCCCTCACTGAAGACAATGATCCCAGTGAGAGTGCGGAAGCCCTCACTGAAGAAAAGGTTGTTGTTGCTGCAGTGCGCTCACAGCACACTGAAGCTAACGAGTCATCAGATGAGTTCATACTGGCTCGTGAAACGGTAGTCCGTTTTGTGCAAGACTCCATCGCCGAAGCGGTGGATAAGCAGAAGCAAACGCTGACAAGAATGGAAGGGCAAACACTCTTTTATTTAGTAAAGGTGACTTAGTCCTACTGTCTACGGTTAATCTACCAAAGCATGTAATGACTAACTTGGATAGTAGTAAACTTCTACCCAAGTACATCGTCCCATTTCGTGTATTGCACCGCCTAGGCAATGCATACACGATCGAGTTGCCACGTCAGATGCGAAACGCATCCCACGTTTCACGTTAGTCGGCTTAAGCCGTACCATCAGTACGCTGCTTCTTCCTATGAAGAACGCTCTTGCGCTCAAGTATCTCATAGAGGGCCTTGTGCTCCCGATGGTGGATTTCAACGAGGGTCTGAAGAGCAATTATTTCAGCCCGAGACCGGTCAATATCCCCACGAGCTACCCTTAGCTCGTCACGCAGATATGTCAAAGCTCTCTCTTTCTCAAGCTGAGCAAAGGCAAACTCAGCTCGATGCTTCGAGGCAGTGTCCGCCAGTTGGAGACGCCTGTCCCGCTCATGTTCGAGATCGTCGCGTAACCCTTGCGTTACGCGATCAAAGAGGCTCTCGGGAACACACTCTTCCCCACGATTGTGTGGAGAGCGTCTTTCCTCCTCCTCCGCCTCGATTAGAGGACTCTCGCGGTGGCCAGTGCTATCTGGTTGAGCAGCTGTTGAACCACCGCGATGTGAACGGACGTCGGAAGAGTCATCTCGTCCGGTGGCGCGGCTATCCCCCGTCCTGGGATACTTGGGAGCCCCGCTCCCAACTGATGATCGACGTACTGGGTCTG